TATAACGGTTAAGTTTCGTACTAGTTCTTTATAAGATACCGGCAGTGTTGCTTGTCCTAATAATTTAACTGGTGTCTCTGTCCAAGTTCGTAATTTTAATGTAATGGGACGTAAAACTTTTGCTGGTAAATGAAACTTCAGTTTTTGCCAAGTGTGTTCGTTGATAATAGAAAAACTAGCCCCCGTGTCAATTTGCATGTGAATAGGTATTCCCGCCAAAGACACCATTATTTCATAAGCAGGCACTCGACCCTGACTGATTACACAGTAAATACCATTTAAATGATCTTCTTGTTCATATGTGAAATTAATATTACGATTTGTATTAGATGACATATTTCTTTTCTTTGTTATACAATTTTTTTCCAAGTGTCCTTTTTTTCTACAGTAACGACAAACAGTATTTGCGAAACGACATTCTCCTGAGTGGCGTTCGCCACAACGATAGCAAAATCGAACTAAAACTTTAGGCTGTACTGCATTAATGTCCATCGCCTCCATGGCGTCCGGCGCCGACGGTAGTGGCGGCGCGGAAGTGCCCGCTGACATGCTCACGGACGCGTCGTGTATCATACGCACATCTCGTCCCGCACTTTCAGATGACAACATGGCGTCTACAACGTGTTGATAACTCAAATTGTCCTTTTTTAACAATTCATATTGTAACTTTTCATCACACATGCCACAAACCAGTCTATCACGTAACATTCTCTCTAAGTCAATGAAATTACACCCAGAACTTAATTTTCTTAAATGCGCAATGTAATCGGAAGCTGATTCCCCCCGCTTTTGATTTCGATTGTAAAATTTGAAAGACACTCGTTATATTATATATTTCGTTTGGTTTCGGGCTATAGTGCTTCGTAAGAATAGTCACAATTTCACTGAATGTCACATCACTAGTATGATTTGGAGTAATTAACGCAACCAAAGTTTCATACACTTGAGAACCACACACTGTAACAAAATTTGCTCGTTTTGCTTGTTCACTTAAAATACCATTTGCCTCAAAACAAAATTTCAACCGATCAAGATAAATGTTCCAATTGTCTGTTTGTGGATTGAATTCCTCAAATTTCACTGCTTTGTTGGCCATTTTTAGTTTTTTTTTTATCACTCGTCGCCACTATTATGTTTAGAAACACAAAACAATAGATATTTACTGCATAATCCTTTATTCAGCTCGGTAGCCTGAATGACACTGTTATATGGCGGTATATCATAACTACCTTCAACTTAATTAACATTATTGATTATAATAAAGTAAAAAGTACCCTCATCACAATCCTACCTACAATTATAATACATGACAAGTACAAATGCTCGTATTCATCACACAAACATCTACCCCTATTGGGATTCGAAACCGAGACCTCTCGAGTACGTAACACCTTGAAACCCGGCAAAAATTTCATTTTTTCCCCTATTTTTCGTCGTTTTCTCCCCAAACATTCAATTTTATTGAATTTTACCGATCATCAACGTGTATATCTTTTAATTATGCACAATTTTGTTCTTAAACTTTTTTCTGTAACTTCAATACCTTCGGAGTTATATATTATTTTACCGAGCGAAATCCACGCCACTGTCGCAGTATAAAAGGGTAAATCGATTAAACTATTTAAAAAATGGGTATTTAATTTGGGTAAATTTATGGGTTTGTTTGGGTAACAAGTAAATTAACAATTAAAACTGTTTCACACATTTATTGATACAAAAAATAGGTTATAAAATTCGGAAAATTAAGCACCCGAGGTCGAATAATTCCGAAGGTATTGAAGTTACAGAAAAAAGTTTAAGAACAAAATTATGCATAATTAAAAGATATACACGTTGATGATCGGTAAAATTCAATAAAATTGAATGTTTGGGTAGAAAACGACGAAAAATAGGGAAAAAAATGAAATTTTTGCCTTGCGGGAGTAATAACTTAAAAAATATTGATGTTACAAAAAAAAGTTTTAAATAAAAAAGTTAATAAATTTCATTTAGAAGAAAAAAGGTCTCCATAATTTTTTGGCTAACACTGATATTTCTCGAGATATCGAATTAAACTCGTTTGCATCGAAATGACCTTGAGCTGACCTCAGTACAGCCCCTCAAATTGGAACTTAAGCTCAGGATGCACCCCCCTATCGATCCTCAAAATCCCCAAACTGTGCTCGCTCATGTTTTTTTAGCCCTTTTTTTCCGTAATTTGACTGGACTAATACAGTAATATTAGATTTATGAAAAAATATATACGACTTTTTTTCTCGTACCGATTTAATGATTACTTTGTAAAAGCGGCGGATACGAAATAAATATTAAAATAATTTGTATCTACTGTTTCCGTTAGGAGAAGAACGAAAACATGGCATAAGCGTTTTGTTTCACGACAAACAATAAAATGCCAATCAAGTTTTCGAAAAATATCGTTCTCTTTTTTTTATTAAAAAAGATGGATAAAATAAGCATTTCGGTTATAAATATAAATAATTTATGTTAATAAAAAGGTTTAACGATTATAGTACCTTGTATTTTTTATGCGCATACACATTATTATGTAGTAGTACCTATGTGAAACTAAACGTTATTTTGGATTGATATCCTTTTGATTGACATTTCCGTCAAACAAAAGGATTTGGACGACATTGTCGTTTGTGATTTGGAACCATGTTGAGATGCATAAATTGTTATTTATGTGTCGATAGAATACAAAGGCATGTCGTTTATACAATATCAGCTACAATACGGACGCTGTTGAGTAATTTATAAAAAATCCAATTTTCTGCTGAAATTGCAGCTCGAGAAACGCATGATAATTGGACTCTTTGTAAGTATATTATTCAATAACCACAGCTTCTAGAGAATTTACAACTTTACTATTTTGATTCCTTATATTACAGCTATGAAATATCATTTATCGCATTCGTGTACACCATTTTATCGGGTGGGTTAAACCTCTATAGAACTTCTGGCATTGGCATTGGCATCCCCAAGTAATCACATCACATTAAATAAAGTATTTTCGCATACTTTATTGTTGGCATAAAGTATAGAGTACAAGTACCCGAAATAACGTACAATACTTTATAATAAAGTACGGGTGGCAACCCTACCCCTCTTATTAATAAACAAATAATATCTAAGCTTAGATTAGTTATTCCTTGTTTTGTCTCTGTTCATTGAATGACAAATGGAACTTGAGTGACATGAACAAAACACTGCATATTTAGTCTTATTCCTTATTTTAATAAGGGTTATATTAATAGCAATCGGACTTGTAATATTAAAAAATAAACTAACTGATAGTAAAAGAAAGGAACAAATCCATCGCGTGGATTAGCAGGATATCTGTGAAACATACAAAGAGCCGCAGAATGCGTCTTTATCTTATACTATGCATATTTGAATAACTTTTTTTATTCGCGATTGTGGTTAAGATACTGTTATGGCCTATTCACATGATTCCAGTAGCATTCCAGTCTAGCGATTGTCTACTTTTCATTCAAGCTCACTCATTCCAACGTCACTGGAATAGTGTAGTCTGTTATTCTAGTGCGGGATATTTTTTTTACAGTGAAAATTTTCTAACTGTCTTTTTGTAGCCCTTAATTGGCACTATAGTTTTACCAGTTCACAAGATTTTTAAATACTGGAATCATGTAAATGATATAACACCCATTCCAGCAGTGCACTGGATTGATTCTCTGGACTACTGGAATGCCGAAGGTGAGGATTACACTGAATGTATTATTAGAAACAACAAACGAATATTCTTTTTCTGCATTGCGATGTTGAGCAAATAACATCATCAGCCTATTAATGTCTCCACTGCTGGGGCACAGGCCTTCTCTATGGATGGCCCAGGGAGATTGGGCCATGACCCACCACGCAAGCCCAGTGCGGATTGGCGGGTGCTAACGACTGCAGATACAGCCGGGACCAACGGCTTAACGTGCCTTCCGAAGCACGGAGGAACTCGAGATTTTCGGCCACCCATCCAATGATCGACCACTGCGAAAGTTGATTAACTTTAACGATCGCAGCCAAACGCGCTAACCACATGCGCCATCGAGCTCCTCGAATAAAATAACAATTGCTATTAATTTAGCTAATTTCTGAAAATAAGCAGAAAAAGATAAATCTGCGCTATAACAATGTACAGCTTCATTTTTTTTCTATGCTGTAAGTACTACTTAAGCACAAGAACCCTTAAGGGCGTAGGTTAACGAGGCCGTGTTTTTGCGGAGACTACACGGTCCGGACGATTGCTAAAGACCTATTTATGTAAGCTACGAGTATGTAAGAAAAGCAAGACATATTAAGGTAGCATAGAATTACGCGCTGAGAAAATGGCAGAGTATTTACGGCATTCAAACTGCGATTGTGCATGGAGATTAAGCAACTTTTACTGTTTTGCATGAGTCAGTCACTGAATCATTATCATCAGGCTATTAATATCACCAATGCTGGAGCTCAGGCTTTTCCTATAGAGGGTCATGACCCACCCGGGCCCATTGCGGATTGGTGGATGCTAACGAATGTAGATACAGCAAAGACCAACGGTTAAACGTGCCTTTCGAAGCACGGAGGAGCTCCAGATAGTAAATTTTTGGTGACCCATCCAATGACTGACCACTGCAAAAGTTGCGTGACTTTAACGATCGCAGCCGAACGCGCTAACTACTTGCGCCATCGAGATCCTCAGTCTCAATGAGCGAGTGAAAGAAATCAATATGATTCTTTTAAATCTCGTTATGGATTTTTTAAACACACTTAAAAACAATATTAGTTGTATCTTACGACAATGCTATACCTAAGTAATGCTACGGCTACACTGTCGCACTATCACGAACATTTTCTGTTTTCACGACAAGTCAGGCCAAGCAATAGTCACACTTTAGAACACGGTCAAAAATGTGACTATTGCTTGGTTAGATGCGTCATGAAAACGGCAAATTTTCGCGACAGTGCAGTAGTTAGGCCGTAGCATAAACAGTTGGATAAATTTTCACCTTTTGTATGTGCTGTTGTTCAGTGAACTCGCACAGTATGTCGAGGCCGTTCTTCTTTACGGTGCAGCTGCAGGGGGCCATCGTGTTGGGCGGCGGACACTGTTGCGCACCCTGCGGATACGCCGGCCGCGCGCACAGCACCACGCAACCAACCAGCAACCAACGCGGCAACATCCTCACGGTATCTGCATTCGAAAATAGAATGTCAAATAAAAACTCATTGGGGACTCTCGGGCTATATGCGTTAAAAAAAAAGTTAGATCATAACTCTATGAAGGTTTAGTGGAAATTAAGAATAAAGTTTTTAATATTTTTCTGACTGTTCATGACAATTAAGTATTATATAGCCAATCAACAACCAACGCGGCAACATTCTCAGGGTGTCTAAGTTTGAATGTTAGTTATACATATAGTACATTACTGCAGCGGCCAGCAAAAGAGGCATTGATGGACGAATGTGTAAATGTGGACCTAGGCGAAGCCTATGTGGCACACATACAAAGGTCTAACAATGCTTAATTGTGGCCAAGGCCTGTATAGTACTTTTTTCAAATATTTTAAAAAAAGTTATGTGCTTTATAATAAAAATATAACTAGCAGTAACTAATTCTGGAATATGTCATTCAACAACGAGCAACATTAATATTTTTTCCGTGTTAAAGTTTTCATTTGGTTTTTTTTATAAACAGCTTTCTATTTCGAAATCCAGTTCCAGTAAATATCGTTCCATTTTTAAATTACACGACAGATATGAGTTTAATATGTAATTTATTTTGCCGTTAAACGCGACAGATATGGATTTACATAGGTACAATTTTGGCCGGTCGCTGCTCGCATGTATATGACCCGTACCGCTATTTCGATTTATCTCAAAGAAAGTTGTTAAAATAATGCTGACATTTCCAAGCATATTTGAGAAAAAGGAAAATATAAGGGACTGTCAGATAGCCTGAGAGTTAAAAAATTAAATTTAAAGAAATGTCTTAGAAGGTTTTGTTGCAATTAAGAAAAAAAGCTTTACTTAATACTTGCTGCCGGAAAATTCATGGTAATTGAATATTGGTCAACCAGCAACCAACGCGGCAACATCTTCAAGCTATTTGCGTTTGAAAACGGCCTATTTTGAAAAGTCATTGAAGACTCTCAGGCTGTCTGCGTTCAAAAATGGAATTTAGATAAAAACTTTAGTTGACTTTAAGTTGACTTTAACAGTTGCCGGCTCAGGTTGCCGGAAAGGACAATGTTAAAATTGGCCTAAGAACCAACACCAATTTGGCATTTATGATAATTCTTAGTATATTTTTTGCGATAATTATCAGTATTTAGATTGTGACGGACACTTCCAGTTAAGTAAGCTAAATTAAAAAGTTAAAAAATAATCTGAGACAATAAATACCATTTTATGTGTATAATCTATGGCAGCGCTGCAAACAAAACACTTCTTTCTAATGCCGGCACTTCACTTGGCTATTCGTATTTGCTATTTGAAAACATGACATCAGTCTGTCCTTTTCATTGCTTATTAAGCATGACAAGGACAAACTTGTCAAGTGAAGGGCCGGCATAAAACTCGTTACTCTGTGGTTGTGGTGCACGCAGTTTGCATTCGTAGTAATCTGTGGCATTCCTGCATTCCAAAGAGTAGTATAATATACCGGAAAGTGCATTCTCGTTTCGGATTACCTGTTGTGTGTGTTTATTTGCGATTGTTTTTTCTTTAATTTAATTATTTCGGCTATCTAATATGCCATCGATGTTACCAAAGAGAAGAGCCCTTATTACCAAGTGCTAATAAACCTGAGCCAAAACATCCTGAGAGGATCATACTGCCAAATTATTCAAGAACACCTGATACACATTCACGCTGCATATTTACACAATATACATGTGATATACAAATAAATAAAATATACAATATGATACAATTATGTGAATAATAGTCAATAAATAAGAAGCAAAACTACAGTTTTTATTTTATTCATGATTCCTACCTAACCAAGTTTTTCCTAATAGTTATTCTCACCGAATAAAATGAATTAGTTGTAATATTAATTCACTTCATACTAAGTTCATAGGTTGACCCACGGAGGTTGACCTATGTTTCATTGAATATTAAACATAACCTCAAAAATTTTTTAGTTTTCCTAATAATTTAAGTTCTCAGAAGTGTCCGTCAATAATCTTTGTTTTTACAATCATTTACTTACGATTTTGAACCTATAAAATAATATTTCATGATTGTTGGTTCTTAGGCTAACTATGTATGGACGCTGAACAATGTCCTTTCACTCTATTTCTTTGAAGTTTTCGATGCTTTTCAGGCTGTTTGTATTCGAAAACGGGAAACTCTTTGCAGCGCATATCAGGAGTGGCCTGGCGAAGATACTGGCAAAGAGTTTTTGAGCGCGGCTTGAGCCACGGAGCGGAGTTGTCAAGCGCTAGCTAGCGTGGCCACTTCACAGCACTATACGCCTCTTTTGTAATGTTCCAGGATTCATATAGGAATAAGGGTTTAACTTCAATTTAGTACTCATCGAGACGAATCAAACAAGCTAAAACTCTATGCGGTTAAGGCGTACAGAGATCCCTTCCCACCCACCTGCCAACTCCATCTTCAGACCCTCGATACCAACTAGAGACAAATCACTCGTCAAGCTATAAAAGCTTGTTTATTTGTTTTTTTTTCTATTGTAACATTAAAAACACTAGGAATAAATGTTAATGATAAGTACAAAGAAAATACTTGATTTTTAAACAATCGAGTTATATTCACAATATAAACTTTTCCGTTTTTAAAACCCCTCGAAATATTTTTCCAGTTCTGAATTCATGCAACCGGTAGAAATAAAAAAGAAAGTCTTGGCTTTTTTCCAATACCTGTTATCTTGAACGCGCCTCTGGGAGTTATTAAAAATCATCTTGAAAATATTACAAACTTATTTCACTCCTTTAGTACACTAGCACTCCTTTAGTAGGTAAATAAGTAACTAATTTTGTTGTTTCTTTCCCTTTACCTATTACTTAAACTTTAAACTCAAAAAAAGAAGCCTGATCCCCATTGGAGCCGGAAAGTTCTTGAGTGGAGACCACGATTCGGTAAACGTAGTGTAGGACGCCCTGAGACAAGATCGGATGATGATATTCGTAGGCTGGCTGGAGTGGGCTGCTTGATAGTAGCACAAAATCGGGAGCAGTGGCGTGCATTAGGGGATACCTATGTCCAGCAATGGACGAACATGGGTTGATGATGATGATGATGATCCCCATTAACATTATGATGCGAAAGCACCATTCTGTGTCATATTAAATACAAAACAAAAACCTAAACAAGACGTTAATTTATTGTAAACATATACCCCTTTATTAAAAAGAAGAAATTAGCTTAGACTAGTTACACCGTGTTTTGTTCGTAGCACTGGAATGCCACTTAGAGTCTATGCGGAAAGAGAATGGGATTTAGATTGGAGGGCGCTGTAGTGCTTTTCTATCGTATTTGTAGGTAAGGTTTTACCCCTTTAAGACATGATTAAATACAAAAAACCGCAAGAAATCACAACAATAAACAAATCCGTATCAATACAAAACTTTGATGTTTTACAGATTACTGAGTTTGATAGCCAAATAAAAATCTTAATGTTAGTTCCGTTTTTCGCCACGCCCGTTCTCTTTCCGCAGACTCTAACATTCAATGAACATAGACAAAATATTGAGTAACTAATCATAGCTTATTCTTTATTTATCAATAAGGGGTACAATGATTAAACAAACATCTAAGCAAAGCGTTGTCAACCGTTAAAAATGCCAACAAAATTTATCAAAGCCCTTTGATGGGAAGGGTGAAAAAACACAGGGTTTTAATTTTTAGGGTTCCGTATTCGAAGGGAAAAAACGAGACCCTATTACCACATGAGTAAAGAGATACGTACACAGACAAAGCTTCTACAGAGCTGTCAGAGTTTTTCCTATTTTTGGTAGGGTTGACATATGGATATAAATTAAAAGAAACAAAACGTTTCCAATATAATTTGATTAAGTCATTATGAATCTTATAATAGATTTTTGTCCCTCGGTGAACAATGTAAGTGCTACTGCTATTACTTAGTCTAAGTATTTGTTTTTATTAGATACGAGTCTATATTTTTGTTCAGCAATAATAATATAATGTTGTAAGTATTTTTATTTGAACATAAATTCTAAATACAATATGTATGTATATATATTTATACGTATGTATGTATATATAATTAAGTGCATGTATTGAACGCTATTTAGTTTTGTTTTTCTCATTGTTTGGTGTTTGCTCTTTTATATAATTGTCTGCCGTTTTGTTGACTCTGCACGTTCTTTCCGGTTGATTGGCAGAGAATTCCATGCTGGCATTAAGTCCGCCATATGCACTGTAAAGGCATTGAAGATTAAATAAATAAATGTATAAGTTTTTTTAAGTAACCTAATATAAAGCACTAATATAGGTAAGTGTAGATAGAAACATATAAGCGTTTTAGTAAATCAATGTTGACAGTGTTGGTTTTCAGATCTAAATATTAATATATATATAAAATTTAACTTGCAGAATATGATTACCGAGAGGTAGACACATATATAAAAGCTTAGAAAGTTTTTTTTTAATTGGTAAAAGAATAAAATAAATATATAAGGGGGCTTCCATACAGCAAACGTATTTTTTTCAGATCAAAATAATCATATATTTATATCAAATTTAACTTTCAAAATATGATTACCGAGAGGCAGACGGATATATAAAAGCTTAGAAAGTTTTTCTTTAAATTGGTAAAAGAATAAAACAAATATATCGATCGTTCCAGGATGAAACTTCGTAAAAGCCATTTTACCCAAAATCTGGTTTTAACGGTTTCTTTATCAGAATCGCGAGCTCTATCGATCTGTATATTTAAAATGTTCAAATTCGCGAAAAAATGTCTTTTACAACACGCTCCAATTAATGCCCTAAACCCATTTTTCTTCTTGTAAAATGTCATAATGAGCAAATTTGGAAATATTTTTTTCAAATTTATGTAGTAAGAGACGTATTTTCTCATTCCACGGTCAATACAACATATATAATACAGTACTGGAAAATAATACTATTGAAAAATTTGTAGTAAAAGACACGATACTACTAACAATTTTGAAGTAGACATACTAGGGACTTCGGAAAAGGACA